CTTTCTTTTATCATATGAAATTAATTTAATTTTTGTACAGGTTGCGCCAGAGAAACTTACTTATTTGAAAAAATTCCCGCGCGGTGAGTTGGGCGGTTAGAGGGGCGAGAGGGGGCGTATCTGGAGGGGGAAGTTCCCAAGTTTTTTTCTCCTTCCAGTCAGTTGCCATCATGCTGTGGACTAGAGAGCAGCGGGCCTTCGCAGTCGAGAGCTTCTTTTCTAACGGTATATAATATACTCACCGCGCGGGAATTTTTTCAAATAAGTAAGTTTCTCTGGCGCAGCCTGTATAAGCCTGTAATCTAAACTATAAATAATGTACGCATATTTTAAGTAATAACTGACGTTTAAATAGTTATAATATAAAATAGATCTTTACAGGCAATTTGCTTGTAATAAATCACAAATGAAGTAATGAAACGCCGCTTGCTTGGCCAGTGACATTATCTTTGATAAAATTTATAGTAATTGGATATATACAGAATAGGTAAAGATAAAATACAGTTTTTGAATTTTTTTCAAATCCATTTAATAAAATGAAAGTCTAGATTTAACATCATTTTCATTATACGTTTCTAAACAATTGAATATTAAAATGTATCATAAAGCATGAAGGACATTGATAATCGATGTGACTTTTGTGTAAGTGGTTATTCATTTTAATTTTCTTGCTGGCTCTGGAGTGTCGATGGCATAATTCTGTCAAGAAGCTAAAGGAATTAGAACAATGAGAACAAAAGGTAAAAGCAATCGAGGTTCTCACAATATATTCTCCTTTGCTTTCTCTCTCTCTCTCTCTCTCTCTCTCTCTCTCTCTCTCTCTCTCTCTCTCTCTCTCTCTCTCTCTCTCTCTCTCTCTCTCTCTCTCTCACTCTCGCGCTCTCTCGCTCTCTCTTGCTCTCTCGCTCTCGCTCTCTCACTCTCTCTCTCGCTCTCTCTCTCGCTCGCTCTCTCTCGCTCTCTCTCTCGCTCTCTCATTCCCTGCCTCCTACTCCCTTCCTCTCCCCCTTTATTTCCCTCTAACTCACTCACTCACTAGCACACACACACATAAAAATACAATTTCTCTAAATTTCCTCCGCAACCTCTCCGTGCTTTAAAGGAAAAGTCCCTAAATCCTGAAGGAATACTCCTAACGTGGCACCACTGCTCAAGAAAAGGACAAGGCTTGAAGCGGGGCGGGGTCCAAGACAATGCCCAGATTGTGTCGCCGTAGAGTTATGCTGCGTTACAAAACAAGGACGCCTTAACTTTTGCAGTTAATTAAACCGTGTCTTTTCACCCCTGCGTAAATTGCGAGAATGGAAGCCAATTAAATGTCAACACATTCAAAGACACTTCTATGAAACGTTGACGGGAGAAGAACATAAAGCGTCATTTCAAGGAAAAAGAAAATATTAAATTTGGAGTTGCGCAGAATGCAATTGCGTGTTAGACAAAAGAAGCTCTCTGACGGATACAAAAGCCAAAGTCTACTTGGCTACATTTCCCCTCTAAGCCCTGTAAGCGACGAGATATTGAATTTTCCGCTTGTCGTTTTCAAACTCTCAGTGCTAATGGGAAATATTTCTTTCCCACCAGATCAGTAGAGCAGTTACGACGTAGATACAAGGTCTCAGATCACTCAACAACTGTCACATGTCCGACTATCGAATAACTCCAACAGATATTTCATATCTCAATATTAATTAATTAACATTTTTAAGCAACCTCTTTCTTACGAATCTTCAACAAGAATTTCAATACTGAAATAGGTTTTACTTTTTCATTTATAAATAATAATAATAATAATAATAATAATAATAACACATTTAATTAATTGGGAAAAATTAAAATATCCATTTAATATTTGTTAGAGCCGATGATTTTATAATATCTTTAATATTTTAGTAGTAGGAAGACTTCGAAAAAAAATGTGAACTTTTGCAATTATCAAACAATCTGGGTTTTTAACGAATATGAGACATGCACCATTTCTTAAACGTATATTAAACTCTCCAACAACACAATTTAATCAAAATCAATGGAGCCATTTTTTCGAAAATCTAGAAAATGCCTCAGGGGCTTCATTTAAAGTATCTTACAAAATTGAAATATCGACTTCAAATTCAAATGGCCGCTATAATAGGCAGATTAAATGGGGAATATCCCTTTTGGAGAAAATTGACTGAACGGTTTAGTCGCTAGCGTTGTTCACACTCAGTCAGACGGATGGACGGACGTTTTTAGTAATTGACTTTTATTTTATTATTACACAGTACAATATTTAATATGAACTAAATATAACATTTAATGTAACACGTAGATGTCTCAATACAAAATAATTATATGCTTGTGATAGAAGTATGCTGGGTTGCTAAGGCAAGTAGTGTTAACAGTGCATTCATCAATAGAAATCTCACATGCTCAGACCAACACCAACTGATATTGCACACGATATTTCACATTGATTTATTTTTTATTCATTCATTTACTTATTTATTTAAAGTCAACTGTTAAAAGCTGTATGTGACGTACTATGTGTGTGTTGAAGGGAGTAGAAGTGTATTCTGTGCATGTTTTCGTGAGCTATGGGTTTCCTACGTGTGGAAGAGAGCGTTTTTGTCAAGAATTGATCAGAGAATATTCGCTCCCTTATAATATAAACTAGTGAGCAGGTAAGTTCACAGATAGAGAAACTACGTATGTGCAGAAGCTAACCAGAGACAGTCTCATTCAAAATAGTTCACACAAGTATATATACATTCATACAAAATATCCTATGCAAGTAATGATAACCAAGAAAATGTATAGTATTCTAAACATAAATATTTCATTTACAACTATCACTATTGCAAAGTAAAGAACAAAAATTTACTCTTCAAGAACAGCACCGTACGGGAATGGTAATTAAAAATACAATTCCATAGTAAGATGAAGTGTTCCATGCAAATAATGCATTTCGAAATACACTCTGCGGAAAGCACAAGGGGTGGGGGGAGGGGGTTGAGAAAGTTCAGGGCACGTTCGCGCCTGCGAACTCGAGAGGGAAGCAAACTCGGCGGAAATGAAGCACAAAGTGAAAAGTTTCGGCGTTTGAGAGAAATATACAGAGAGTTATCAATTCCGAATTTACTTTTTGCCACCACCGCAAAGGAACACGCTGAAATTACAAAACGGATAGACGATGGCTGCCGCTATGCAAACTCCCTGGAAGTAGTTACCGCGTCACGTTTAAAATTCCGGACACTGGGTCGAACATAGACCAGTTCCTAATTGGTAAATGCGCGCACTAGAGAATGGCGAAACGAGCCACTAATCAAGTGGGAGGGGCGGGCGCGTTGGAAAATCTTGTCAACCACGAAACGAACACGTTCTTTTGTTACAGTTTTTATTACAAATAGAGCACGTGTCAATGAAGCCTTCTTTTTCTCATCGGAATTTGGGACGCTTCTGAATGATCTCTTTAGCTCCATAGAAGTAAAAGTAAATAGGAGGTAAACGTGAATAATTGTTATTTGTGCCACAAGTAGTTTAAGAAGATTTTTGTTTATGAGGCAGAAAGGTGATGCCATGAGTGACACTAAATTGCGTTCATAAGCTTTTCCATCACAGTAAAATTATTTTCAATCGATCCCTTAAATTCATCCGTCTATTTCTCTGACTTTTGCAATAATTTGCTTGTATGTTGTTGTTTGCGCCTGACGTCTGAGAGTTATGTGATGACCCCGAAAGAGGTTCCTAATGACACGGAACAGCAGCAGCTTTTTCAGTGACATTATGAACACGTATTGTAACCAGCTTGAAATGAATGAATGAGCAAGACAGAGCGCCATACCACCTGAGCCGGTCTGCAACACATTTATTCACCTGTCACTTCATTTCATTAAAAGAATCCAAATAGAATTAGTATTGGACTTTAAAAAAATGAAACGTAATAAACTGAAATCCAGTATTCAGCTTCGGTTGCCTGCAATAGATGACGCAGCTCAAATGTGTAAGGAGCAGTGAAACCTGGCAACGCTGCTTCTGCCGAGGTACATCTGTCGATGGCTATGGTTATTACTGCCATAGTTAGTTTTTACGCGTGACCATGGCGGTATTATTTCACTACTAAATCGTGACAACCAGTGTCTTCGTATATGTCATCTTCAGAGGGTTTCCTCCTCAAGGTATCTCCGTGGGTGGGCAACCACCAAATGCAGAACAAGCTCTAATCTCCCCACTAATCTTCCGACACGTGTGGTAGTGGAAGTGTGTATTTAAATGTGCGCAAGTATGAGTTGAGGTTAGAGCAAGAATGAGGAAAGAAAAATTGTGCTCTCTTATACACCTAGTATTGATTGGAGAAACCAAGGAAAACTTAACGAACAGAGCAGCCGACCGTTAAAATTCTCCTCCGAACAGCGACTGAATTCCACTTAAGTATACAGGTAATGTATAAAATCTGCGGATTTTGGGATTAGAATCCTAGGACACCTCTGTCAGAGTACAGAAGCTGCGACAATGCTGAAATTACTATTATGTATAATTAAAATTCTTCCCCGTCTTTCTCAATTAACAAGAACATTTTCTGGCCATTCATGCGACGCACAGATTCTTGAATAAACTACGAAACGTCGCTCTGATGAAATGTTAATAATTGGATATAAACTGCAATAGTTTTTTTTTCAAGGATATCTTTGTCGCATGAATGGCCAAAAACGTTTCCTTGTTAACAAAGCAGAAAGGTACAACGTAAATTGAAGGCTTGAAATAAAAAAGGAAATAAGTGACATTTCTGTTAAATTTACGTTTTTACCAAAATAATGCTCAATGACTCAAGGACTACAACATAAATAAGAAACAAAGTCCAGCCGCATTTCTTGATAGTGTTATACGGGGTAACTCCAGTCATTATAAATGACAGGAGTTATGTGTGCCAATAGGTTTAATGTTATATAACTAATTGTTCTCGAAAGTATACAAATGTCACTTACATTCTTCTTTATTTCAATGCATCAATCATTGCGGAGCTCACCTGCGGCGCGCGCGTGCGCGGGGAGGTCGTGAGGGCGGGCGCGCGTGGCCTCGCGGGCGAGGGGCTCCGTCTCGCGGGGCGGCGCGCGGTGGCCACCCGGCCCCTCGCCGTCGCTGCCGTCGGGCAAGAGCGCCGGCGTCAGCAGCCGCGTCCAGCGCAGCCCCGCCGCCGTCGCCTCGCACAGCAGGCGCAGGCGCCGGTCGGGGCCCTGCGCACGCACACACGCACACATGCATGGCTTCATTCGTGGTTCCAGGCCTGGCAGCTGCTGTGGTCATTAGTCCCTCATGCAATACATCGGGTGGTGGCAGTGTTGCTCTCCTGCTGGGACCACACATCCGGCGACGTCCTACACATCGGGCAGAGAAGTATCGTCCTCCCGAATCCTCCCTCTCGGCATCTCCCTCCAATCGGACAACCTTCAAGCGCCCGATTGGCCACCCGATGCCTGTGCTAGTGTAGTGTGGTTTAAAAAGTATTTAAAAAATGTAAGTAACGTAAGTAATATAAGAGGAGGAACAAATGGTCGCGCACGGTACTTGGTCTGTTGGTGAGTGTACGGCTCTGATATTCGTTTGAATTCGTTCATCGAGTAAACTACAGAAAACACCTTTTAGAGAAGTAGGCCGCTGCAGCTCTCGTCTATAGAAGGGCTGAATTACACCAAGCTGCCTAGTTAGCTGCAAGAATCCTCCATAGTCGGGATTCAATCTCTAGGTAAAGCTAAAAGGAGTCTACATTCTGACGCTTTCGAAACTCAGAACTGTTATGAACTGAAGAGTCCGCAATGTGGCATGTGAAGTTTTGCTATATGAGAAGCCTTACATCACGATCATTGGCAAAACGTATTATGTTTGACCGCATTATATACTCTAAAATTTCGTAATATTTCTTCCGAACCACATGTATTGATCATTAAATTAAGGAGGCACTCACATATTTAAACATGAAAAAACTTCTTGTTATATATTTCTACACATATGTAGAAAATGCGTGATAATGCATGAAAAAGTTACATTACTCTATCAAAAGTGCGCCAAAACTAGTAAACCTAGAAAGTGAAATCAACCATTCTATTACGTTATAGAAAATAAATAGGAAACACATATTAAAATGCCGTTTTCTGAAGGGGAATAAAATGTGTTATTAAAATATTAAGTGATTAATTTTGTTTAATGTATAATTCAGCTGAATTATACATTAAACAAAAAGATTCAAATAAAGCTCTTTTTCGCACACAACCTGCAGCAGACGACAGTCTGATCCGCAGAAAGGCGTGATAGAAGTAACGGGTTCCGTGTGAGGGTCGGGTGCAGCGGAGGGGGGAGAGAGGCCAAGTACCTCAAAGAGGCGTCGCTCGGCGCGTAGGCGCAGAGGCAGCGTGCGCGCCACCAGCCCCACTGCATCCGCCTCGTCCAGCGGCGCCGGCGCGCGCCCTGGGAACCACCGCTCCGCCTGAAACACCCCAGAGTTCTAGCTTCACAAGTGCTGTCAGGACTGGAAGCATAGCGTTATTAGGGCTCCGACTGAAACACCACACCACGCCCTTCTTCAGTGAGGTCAAGACAAACCACTGCGTTACTAGCGTTCAGCCTGAAATACGCCACACTGCTCGCCTCAGGAGTATGGTCAAAGCAGAAAGCTCGGCGCTACTAGCGCTCCGGCAACAACCACACCACAGACCATGCGTCACCAGTGCTGTCAGAACAGAAAGCACATCGTGAATAGCGCTTCGCCTGAATCACTTCCAGCTCTCTTCCTGGGCACACCACACTGACAAAATTTCATTTCAGTCACACCAAAAAATATACAGGATTATTACTCAGTCTCGCTTTTGATACTCAGTTACAACTACTGTAAATAAAATAATATAACAACAAAATACAGGGTAATGGCTATTTTTTGACGTATCACGAGTTTTCGTCCGTGTCTGGGAACATGATTTAATTTATAGTTAGAAACTACCAGCTCAGTTGTTTATCTCCAAAATATTATTCATACCTCTCTTGCAAACAGCTCTTTCTACGTTTCAGTACACAACACTTTGTCACCTCGTTGAAAAACTAAAGAAGTCACAAAATGAAAGCAAGAATTCCTCAAAGATTCAAATAAAGCTCTTTTTCGCACACAACCTGCAGCAGACGACAGTCTGATCCGCAGAAAGGCGTGATAGAAGTAACGGGTTCCGTGTGAGGGTCGGGTGCAGCGGTGGGGGGAGAGAGGCCAAGTACCTGAAAGAGGCGTCGCTCGGCGCGTAGGCGCAGAGGCAGCGTGCGCGCCACCAGCCCCACTGCATCCGCCTCGTCCAGCGGCGCCGGCGCGCGCTGGACGCCTGGACATTAATTTCTCTCCTATTGTTTTTACTTTACATAGCAGCTTCACAAAATCATTCAAAATGTCGATATCATGATGTCATCATTCAAGATACTTCTGTAAACATGACACTGAAATACCTCAATCTCTCATATCTACTTACTCGTGATTACATTCAATGCTATGAGCATGTCTAAATTGACCAAAAATGGCGAATCGAATTGAGAGTGGCAAATTAGCAAGCATTTTTCCTTGGTGCCTCCCCCTTTCCCTATCTTTACAAACTAACGCCATTCCAGTTCCTTGGCTTGCCAATGCTACACCAGTAAAATATCTAGGAGTTCTGAAAAACAACTTTCTTGAAAGCAATAGTACTTTCAAAAAAAGAATTAATAACTCCATAAAAAGAATTAATTGCAGACTAAGTTTGTCAAAGTTAAAATACCCTGACTCGTCTCTACCATTAACAAAAATTCCTCTCTGCAAATAGTCTCACCCCTGTAAATGTTTATAATGAAACTTATCAGCACTTTGTAGTACACAGTACGTATGTCTGCCCAGCTTCACATGATATACTTTCAATCAATTTACATAAACTTCCGATTAAAGTGAATAATCGAGTGTTCGTGTGTTCTGAAGATGTTTTCTGTCAAAATTGTAAACAGTGCATTTAATATATCACATAATCGAATTTTTAATTGAATAAATGTAACACGTGTAATACCTGTAACAGTCTATAATATCGTGATTTCTTGTCTCTGCAAAAAAACCTTGGATAAAGGATTGCTTATATGCTTTCGCTGATTAAAGGTTCATTGTTGTTGAAGTTTGTAGTTGCCACTTCAAATTGCCAGAAAAACATTCAAAAACCACTTTTCCTGCCACATCGTAAGTCGCCACGTATTCAGAGTATAACGTCATCGGCTTCCTACAATAGTGTACGTACGTTTCAGTTACTTGGAATTTACGTGGAATTTTACTTTCTCTTACTTCTTGGTAGCAAATATATGAAATTTTACATGTTGGACAATTTGGAAATCCAGCTCGTTTTGTTATACAATCTATTCTAATTTTATGCTCTCTCCTAGTTTTCCAGTAAAATATTCATATTATTGTTCCAAACCTTCTAATTAGCTTCAAATTATAGAACATGCAATACAATTATATATTGGCCAGTACTATTCCTCTTCTAATACGTATATCTCAAGTTTAATTACAATGAGTCCACACTCACACTCAGTTTAAAGTATGATTTTATTAGACAAAATAATTACATGAAACCGAAGTTTAGCTTCCAAATAAGTTTAAAAAAAACATATTTACATAGATTATTAAGTGCATATTAAAAATGACAAGAGCATACAAATAAAAATGTGATGTTAGAGTATTACGTGGTAATAACACTTCACCACAGTCTAAACAACTCCCGTATTCAGTGCCTCTACCTACAATTACCTGACCATTGTGCCATACTCACGTTGTTGGCGCAGTGACGGGAAATTAATACCCACAGTGGCTGGCCGACTATTACGCATGCGCGCTGGTCAGTACACCTCGTCACGCGATGCGAAGTGGAACAGCTCAGGTGCAGTTTCACGGACGAACGCACTCCCTGTTAGTTGAACGCGTGGCGCGAAGCGGATTAATTCTGCAATAGCGGTGCTCTCGCGAAGAACAACATTCACTCATTGTTGCAAGTAGATCTACTGGTAGCACAAATCATCACGTAAGCTCACCTCCAGACACGTGCAGTCCCAGACCCATGAATGAGACCATACTGAAAATTACATGCACCAAAATTATATCTTGCGAGTTCCAAACACTAAAATTCAGAAATACTGACAGTGTATGTAAAAAAGGCAATGGAAATGTGCTTGCAAAGTCAACTAGTGGCTTTTCTGAGGAGAAAAACATTGATAAAAATCTAACGTTTGATTCATTACGATACAGGTTCTTGACCGATGAGAGAAGTTTACAAACGTAGAATTAAGACTTACAAAAACAATCATGGAGAATCGTTCCAATAAATATTTTGTTCAATTGTGTACAATAATATTGCGTTTAATATTAAATAATGATTGTCAGTTAATTTCTTTTATTTTTTGCATGGAATTGTCTTTTATTTTATTTTTTTGGATGGAATATTATTTAAAATAAATTGGATCGTAATTTCGCTTTGATCTATTTGACTAGCGCAGTATTCATTCGCAGGGGGACTGGTAATCAAAGCTATCTGTAGCAGGAAAGCATAGGGTCAGTTAGCTGTCCGCTAGGTAGCCTTGGCTGAATCGTACATGTCAACTGTGATGAAACAATTTTATATAAAAGTTTAATTTATAAAAGTTACCATAAGTCGTAGAAAAAGTAATAATTATGCAATATTATATAATGTATTGCATAATTATTACTTTTCCCTATGCAATTTAATGTAATGGGTGACACGTGAGATGGGACACTCGTAAGATGTTTAATATACTCGGTTGTTCCTCTCTCGTATCGTAAGATCATACTCGTCTATTAATACTTAACATATCATCGTTTCACAATGTACTATTACTTCATTAATTTTAAATTAAATAAAAAGAAAGAAATTAATATGCTCTCTACAAATTAGAAGGTAAACATGCAAGCACGTGAAGGTAAATGAAAGAGTAAGTAGTAAATGGTAAGTAAATAAGAGAATCAATGTTTTTTCGCACGTTTAATCAGATGTATTACTCAGTATGGCCTTACATTCTGCGATTAAAAATGTGATTAGAAGTACTATAACAATTGTGCGTTGAAGAGCGCGTTAATACTGTACATCTCATTTTAACTGTCTTTATCACAACTTAGTTTTAGTTGCGTGCCATGTTTCAGTAACAAGCGACAGAGAAAAATAAGCCGAGGAATGTACGAAGATGGTAGAGTGATAAAGTTATTTCGGCGTGGAAAGAGACTACATATATATTTAAAGCACTTAGAGTGTTCCTCTAATATATTTCCCTTAGAAATATTTATGAATCCAATATAAATATTTATATATGTAGACAAAATGTAAATGTTTCTTGGATATATCATATTAAAAATAGGCAATAAAACATACATGAAAGTAACACAACTATATCCACTCATAAATAGCCATTCCAGACTGAACAAAAAAAAATGAAATAACTTTATTAAAATCAACTATCTCATACTTATGCCTGTCCTGTCTGGGGTGGATCCGCCGAAAGTGACGTAGAGAATAGTACACAAAAAATTCCTAAAGTGCATAATTAAAACCCCGTAGTACGTGTCAAATGGGCAAGTTAGAAACGAACTGAAAATAGAAAACATGAATACGTATATTACAAGACTATCTGTAAAATGTTTGAGGACTTACCAAATGCGGATTGTGTTATAAACCTTTATCTAGGACGTTCAGCAGACGTTATTAAAACTATTTAAAGGTACCGCAAATATTAACTATGCACACCATAGATACACGCTTTAATAAGAATAAAAATTCAAAATTGAGTTTGATAAACACGCAATATTAAACGACAGAACATTACAAATTCAAAATAAAATAAAATTCTAAATTAAAACAAACCTGACGAAGTAAGAGGAAGCTTTGTATAAATGAACTTCCTGCATGTCTATGCCTTAACCCAGATCAGGTAAAATGACATACAAATCTCTATAAGATCAGAGAATTGAAAACAGGGATAATTCATTTGTTAAACAAATACAGGGTCGCCCAAACAAAACAAGCAATTTTGGGGCAGGAGATCCACGAGTTCCAAATATTTCAAACATGTTACGTCCCATAGAGCAACAAACTTCATTTTTCCATGCAACAGAAGTGTTTTTTGATGTTGAATTAGAAGTAAATATATTTTTATTTATTTTGAATGCAAAAAACAGAGCCTTAATTGAGATAACTTCTGGGATATGTTGCTCCAGCTGCCCTCCTTGTGAGAGCCCCTGGCGGATTAATGAAAGCGTTCAAACATTAATAATTTCACTGGTTATCTTCATGTAGATGCAAGAATCAAATTATCGAGTTGATCAACTGGATATTCAATTACAAATAAATTTCCAATCTATTATTTAACCATGCGAATGTGCTTTATGCATAATTCTAGTTATTAGAATTTTACATGCTGTTACGCATACGT